GTTACTGAGACTGAACTAATGCTCAATTCGAATCGAAGTCAATAGGTGAACTGTTGCAATCCATGTGCATTCATTGATATTTAAACAAATTGCAAGATTTTTGAAGAAATGCGAGCAAACAATCCCCACTTGATGTATTGTAAAATCAAGGTCGCAATGCGTATTTGATATTTGGAGAAACCATACGAAAGCAGAAAAAATGCACATGAAACTTATGATTGGAATACAATTTTTCCAACCAGATTTAAAGGTATTCGAATTTTCGTCATACGATAGCAGAAAAATTGATGGTGCTTATTATGTACACATTCTTTTGAAGAGAAGTTTACAGTCTCAATTTTAGACTCACATGTCCAATGAGTTTTATAGTACGCATTAGAAGCGAAATAACGAAAAGTATTTATGCCTGTTATTTGTCATTTCGAAAGTGATGTCTGTAAGAACTGTTGCATGGGAAATAATCTATGTTGCAATTTGTAAGTTCTTTTAGTCATAAGTTTTATTTGAAAGCTATGATCTTAGTCAAACATTGAAATAATCGAGTGCAATGGAGAATCATTGTGTTGATTAGATACACAACCCAAAAATGATGATCGATAAATATTAGCGTGATTTTCTTTGTAATTGTTTTTAGACATTACATAAAAATCATTATAAATTATACTCAATGGAAATATTAATATTTATATTGGTTAAAAAATGTATCAAGCTGATGAGCACATGAACATCGATTACCATAAGGTCATATTACGAATACGAATAGACTTTCTCTTCGCTTCAATTCACTGATATTTTATACAATTTAAATATTTTTTGGAGAAATGCGATTAAAACTTGATGTGTTGAATAATTGAAGTTGTTATCTTTGATCGTTTACAAAAGCGAATCACAAAGGTATCTCATTGAATAATATTCGAAAATTGTGAAGGTCTAAGGTGTCTTCGGTCAAAGTCAATTTTAAGAACTGCAGAGCACAGCTATCATTAAAAAGTGAACAAACGAAAACGAACTTAGCAAACAATTCTAGAACTAATGAGATAGCATAAATTAACTTTTTCTTTGTGTACTGATATCCTTGCAGCAAGTATAAATTTTTGTTCATAGAGACAAGAAAAAGTTCTATTGTGGAGTATGATGCAACGATTTCCTTATTTTAAGTAAAATAATGTATTGCTTGATTTGTCACCAAAGCCACAAAAAAAACGGTTTGTTTCACAAAAGAGCCAGGTATCAGCTATCAACTTGAAACTTATTTTTTTCTGATATCTGAGCTCAATCCACCTAAACAATAATTTTCCTCCTAATATTTTCAAAATATGTGGAAATGAGATTTTCAGTGAGCATTTGTATGGGAATCTGAAACCAACTTGATTATACGTTATAACTCGAGTTCAAGTCCTGCGATTTCGATTAAAAATGCTCAGTTTGTTCACGGGCCTCTGAGAGTCAGAGATATTTTTTTAATTCGACTCGTTTGAATTTCAATACTTAATCATGTACATGAAAAAATTCTAAGCCACTCAGTTTAATAAGGAACAATAAATAGTTATACATAATCTAGTGAATATTTGGTTGATGATTGTAAGAGAGTTCAGTTTTGAAAAATAAAAAGTAAATTTTATGATTTAAACACAATTTGTATCATTTTTAATTTATTGATAATATTTTCATAGTAATTCAGTTATAAAATGCCATAAAGATTTGTAGTATAAAACGTGGGGAGTATAACAATTCCCTGTTTGAATGAATTTACTATTCTATAATATTTGCGACCTCTTTGTTTGCTAAATGAATTAAGAACGTTCATTTAATACTTTGAAATATTCCAGTTCGATCAATTTCGATTGTCTCTTCTTAATTTGGGGATTTGGTTGAAATGAATGGTGAGAAATCTGCTGTGTATTCCAAATAAATAAAAAAAATGTTTGAATGATTCGAATTTTTAAGTTTCGATCAAGCAAAGCTCGACGCTGGCCGAAAAGGTGGATGCATTATAAAACTGTCAGTTGCTAATGCATAGCTTGATGATTTTGCGTAGCTCGACTTTGGCGGAT